AGGGAAAGGGAACGCTGGGGGCATGCTGGGGCTCTGGCAATAGATCCTCAGATCTGCCCCACAAAAATGTGGGAAATGTATATAGGCATTCTCCTTGCTGTCATATCCCAAAATAGACTCCCTACATTCATGAATGGGCTGGGCCAGCACAGCATCCTGAACATCCTTCTGTGTCTCATACACATGATCACACAATCCTTTCAGAAGCCAAACTCGCTGATGGAAGGACAGCAAGTGAAAAGGTGTGTCCTCCAAAGGATTCACCTCCCCAAGTATGCTAAAAAATTGGTAGCAGAGTCCCATCTGCTCAGCCCGACCTGGCTGATCATGTGAGCTGCCAACAGATTGATACCAGCTCCTGACCCGTTGCCTGAGCTCTGACTCCCAACGACGGTAAGGCAGTGCAGGCCGACGGTGCAGAGTGGCTCTCCGTTGGGGTGGGGACAATAGGGAAGACATTATTTTGGAGAGGAGGAGGCTGCAGCGGGGCATCAGCAAACAACGCTCCAGCTCAAAAAATATAATCTCTGGGAGGTTAAGGGCAGTCTGAGCCAGGCAAAGGAAGTGCCCTATAGCAGGTAGTTCCCAAAGGGTGTCCACAGTCTGGGGGGAAGCCTGTGACAACAAAGTCTGCTCCCATTCTTCCACCTCTTTGGCTGACATTTCTTCTGCTTCTTTCTTCTCAAGCTCACGTTGCCTGAAAGTCAAATTATTAGTTGGTTTATTTTGCACCCTGTTTTAACAAATTCTCTGTAGTATTTTAACCTAAATAAAAATATATTTATGACAGCAACTGTTATTCAACTCTCACATATTCACCCACCTCTTTTCTTCTCTGGCCCTCTGTTGCTCTTCCAGCCGTAGAGCCTGAACCATAATAGACTCATGCCCACCGACAGTGATGGTAGCCAGGCTTCGTGGTGCAAGTCTCCTCCTTGTGGTGGTGCCCCCTGAACCCCGTTCCTCCTCTGCACCAAAACGTCCTTTAGAAGTCACTGCCAAGGTTGTCTTTTCTCGCAAGGGCCTTATTTGACAGATGAAGAGGAAACACAAATGTGTTAATATGATTCAAGTTGCTGATTTTAGCAGTCAGGATTGCTGGAAGCAAACAAATAGTACATGTTGCTCATGTAATCCAACATCCAAACAAACATTCAAAATGCATTAAAAGGTTTGTTCCTCTGTCTATTTTAAAACATAACAATAAGTTTTTGATCAATAATAAGATGACGATAATATCATAGTATGCTGCTGAATCAACTCTCAATAATAAAAAAACATACTATATACACCTTATATTTATGCAATTCAGAAATACTGGCTGACAATAAAGTAATTCAACCACTCTATTCCACAAACTGCATCCAAATATAATATAAATAAATAAATATAAATATTTATGAGCTAACATTGCCAGACACATTTACTGCTCACATTAACTTATAATGCACCAAACACAGAAAGCACCATTTGTGGACCTCTATGGTTGCAGCTGCATCATGCTGTTGAACATTTGCTACCTAAGCAATTTCTTCAATACTGCAATTGCATTATGTTTACCTGGACAACAATGTAAGTTTTTGCTCCAGCATGATTTCCAGCTTTTGAGCCTGTTTAGACATCCAGTGGTCCACCCCATGGTAGCGATAACAGTTCTCCAACATCAGCCTGAAGTCTGCAACAAACTCTGTTATGGTCTCATATGCTTGGTTGAAGAACTTTTCCTCCATTCTACGCAAGCACATCGACTGCCTGAGCTGTGCCTGACCCCGGCCCAGGACCCCACCAATGCCATGTTGGGCCTCCTGGTGGCCAATGGGATGGAGGAATGGGCTGGTAATTCCTTTGCACTTGTCCAAAAGAAAGCCAGTGAATATCCTATAAGCTTGCTGGATCTCATAGTTCATATCCTCTTCAAAGCTACTACTGTTGGTGGAAATGCAAACCTCTGGCAGAGAAAGGTCACTGTTAGAAAACTCTGACATGCCATCATTGCTCAGAGCAAGGTGATCACCCTCAACAGTTGCATCTCCACCGTCGCTGGGACAGTGTAATCCTACCATAGTCTTAACTTCACAGGTGCCATTATTGAGCCCATCCTCACTCAAGACCAGGTCAGTGTCTTCTGTGCTTCTGCTCACAAATTTGGATTGTGAAGACATGATATCAGGGCCAGACTGCTGGGGTGCTGAGGCTTGGTCAGTGACAGTTAAGTCTTGGTTGTGGTACAGTGGATAATCAAAAGCTGCTGTGATTTGGTCTGTCATATCCAGGCACCTTAAGTGGGTAACAGGTGTCATGTATAGTGAACTTTAATGTTCCAAACAACACTCCGACATAGTTCTGATGCAATGGAAAACTAGACAAAGACAAACTAAACAGTCCTTACTACCTATTTACATTACAAAGAAAAAAAATCACAACAGTTATGCTCACCTCGTGTCACTGTCTCCAAATTACCAGCTGCTGAAGTGAGTAAGGTCTTTGCACACTTTTTCTTTTCAGTGAATTAAAGACTAGCTAGATAACTGGCTAACAGTGAGCTAGCTAATGGTAGTCAAAACAGCTGTAAGTAAATAAACTTTGCTCTGCTTGCTCATAGAGATCTACAGCGCACTCACGTATCACCATCGTGCCTTGATCACGTGCAAAATAACACCAAAACAAACTAACCAGAGCCTGAGATTGGTCGGTTAAACAACATACCTCGGCGTTTTCAGTGCGGCTCCAAACAAACCAGATTTTAGCAAGCTTAGCACCCACCACAGCTTGCTAGTTTGGTTAGCTCGCTATTGTCTCCAAACTGGGGCCTGCATTTGCTGCGTTCGCTGTCCATAGTAAAAAAAAAAGTATAACAATTAAATGTCCAACAGTTAAAAAGTTATGGAGACATCTCATGTCGTCAGCACACGGAGTGATGTCAGTGACAACAAGATGGCTAAAGGACCATTAGCCGGAGTAACCCTAGCTGATTGTCCGACAATGCACAACACTTCATTACCACTAACGTTAACCATTCGGCTAACCAGCTAGGCTTACAAGTTGGCAGGTACTTTGTGACACGTAGAAATGCGAGGCTCAATTTAAAGATAAATCAGTGCCTTGTGTCAGATACCCCCATAGCCCTGAAGGGGTTACAGAAACCTAGTAACCGTCTACTCTGGCTTGCCTGAAGACTACTGAGCAGTCCACTTCACTTCACTTCCACCCTGCGTGCGCCCGATGCAAATGTGCGCAGCCTGACGTAGCCAGCTGGTCGCGTGTCACACCAAATTATTTTGGTTTTGGGGGTTATGCTGACATACACTCAATATTCTCTCAACTTATTACTTATCGTAATTACGTCGTTCATTGAAACTTAAAAATGAGCATCTCAAGACAGCTGTTGGTAAAAATGAAATACCGCATATTATGGATAAGGTAACTGTGCACAACCACGAATCAGCAGCATCAGACTGTTTGAGCATCCATTCAAACTTGAACAATATCTTTCACTGACGTGCAGAAGACACGGTAGGTACTGTACCATGCAGTGTTTTAACTTAAGCACCATATACATTCCAGTTGTAACCAACAGATGTCGCTAGACACCAATATACGACAGGCAGATGAGCGTATTACGTTTATGATAGACGCACGGGTTTAGGGCAAGGGCTTTAATTTGCCCTGTGTTTAGTCTGTCAGGTAGGTCTTAGCCCTGGGCTATTTATCTCACCAAAAAGTTCCATCAAAGATAGGTTTCGGTTACAGGCTGGTGTGTGTCAATCCTGGCGCAAGAGTCAAGGTGTTTAATTAAGACGATTATTAGGGTACACCAGTCCTATATGTAATTAAAGTGAGATGTGCTGTAGGTCAGACAGAGGAGTTCAAGGTGGAGGTGGGGCTACATCAAGGATCGGCTTTGAGTCCCTTCTTGTTTGCTAATGTGATGGACAGGTTGACAGATGAGGTCAGACAGGAATCTCTGTGGACAATGATGTTTGAGGATGACATTGTGATCTGTAGTGAGAACAGAGAGCAGGCGGAGGAACACCTGGAAAGGTGGAGGTCTGCTCTGGAAAGAAGAGGAATGAAAGTCTGTCATGGTAAGACAGAATACATGTGTATGAATGAGAGGGAGGGAAGTGGAACAGTGAGGTTACAGGGGGCTGAGGTCAAGAAGGTACAGTATTTGGGGTCAACAGTCCAGTGTGATGGGGAGTGTAGGAAAGAGGTGAAGAGGCGAGTGCAGGCAGGTTGGAGTGGGTGGAGAAAGGTGTCAGGAGTGTTGTGTGACAGAAGAGTGTTGGCAAGAATCAAAGGAAAGGTGTACAAGACAGTAGTGAGACCAGCTATGCTGTATGGGTTAGAGACTGTAGCAGTGAGGAAAAGACAAGAGGCAGAGATGGAGGTAGCAGAGATGAGGATGTTGAGGTTCTGTTTAGGAGGGACCAGGATGGACAGGATTAGGAATGAGCACATCAGACAATCATACTGTGCATTGCATTGGATTACACAAACACAGAGGGCTTGCCTACACCTAGATACAACGAATGCGGTTTAATAGAACAGTCCTGCAATCCCCCTTCATGTCGGTGATAATGTTCAGTTTTCATTAAAACTGTTTGAGAGAGGTGTTCGTTCAATTGTGTGCTGGTTTTTAGTTTGTGTTGTTGTTGAATTGTATTAAATTATATAGACATTAGCTTCTAGTATTTTGTTCACCACATCATTATCTGTGAGGCTCTGTATAATGCAGCAGACATATAGTTCAACAGCAATACAGCCTCCAGAATGACCATACAGTGTGTGTTTATTTGTATGCGAGGGAGGGGGGATACTCTGTTGACAGGCTGACAAGGAGAATGCACATCATATACACAAACTAACGTGTACTGATCTCTCCGTATTTTGGTCCCGACAACTGTAGCACCCACAGCAACAGAGGCCTACTACTGTACTAAGAAGGCCTTCAGACATGGCTCATAATTTATTTATTTTTTTTATATAAAAGGGAGAGCTTCTCCTTTAACTGTAAACCGTGCTCGCTGAAACGTTATTTCGCGAGATTTGCTTGGCGCCGCGACCTCATGTGAGACACCTCCTGTGAGAATCAGTCCGACGGTATATCTGCAGAGAGAAACGGAACGGAGCCGCGAACGTTTTTCATTTCTTTCTCTTCTGTCCGCTGGAAAATAATATCTGTCTAAATACTACTCAATTTACTGTTTATTTAAGGCATAACAGGGCGGTACAACGATGTGGATCCAGGTTCGTACTATAGATGGGAAGGAGACGCGAACCGTTGAGGATCTTTCTAGATTGACCAAAATCGAGTCTTTACGGTTGAAAATACAGGACATCTTCAATGTAAGCCCACAACAACAGCGCCTCTTCTACCGAGGGAAGCAGGTAAGCCCAGTTTATGTGCCACCCTGTCATGCAACAGTCGGTTTTTCTGTTTTGGCAGGGTTTGGTGCTCTTGGCGAGCGAGTGGTCCTCCAGTGCTGTAGCCGTTTCGGACACACGCGAGCTTCCTGTTTTGATAGGAATTCGCCAATAGTTCTTGCGCAAGAGCCCGGGGTAGGCGCTGTGCTGCCGGCCCCTGGGAAAAAACGACAATATTACATGTCTGTATGGTCATAGCATGGTTACGTTTCATATTGTTTTATTTTGGTGCTGAGGAGACCTGCATGCAACAAATGTCCCATCACCGTAGACATGTTTGTTTACATTGCTGCGAGAGAGAAAAGAGAGCATCGCCGTTTTTAACATGCAGAACAAAGTAGTTCAGTACAAACAAACAATACTAGCGAATAGCACTTGTTTGACTAAATGATCGACAGCCTGGTTTACACGTGTAACAACCACTGTCCTTAAATATCTATCTAATCATAATCCACCTAACATGTAGCACCAGTAGCTCTGAACTGCAGTGAGCCCATGAGGGAGCCATCTGACTTGTGCGTGTGCTGTGTTATGATATTAATAATAATATGAGGAAGGAGGGGACTCTTGGCTCCACGTGCCATGACAACTAAAAACAAGTGTAGTTGTGTTGGTGTCACTAAGTATGCACGCTGTACAGTGAGGAGAGACAGAGCTGTCTAACTATGCCCACCTTTCCTCTCCTGACAGGTCAGGAGTGAACATGTTTAGCACACACTGCCTCTAAACACTAAGCCTTACTAAAGTACCATATGATTTTGATTTTCAGTTATTGATAAAGTATTTAGAACTAGTTTGCAGTCTAAACATGGCAGTGTACGTTTTACCTCAGTAATGTACAGTTAATATGATGTATGCAGCAAAGAATTTTATCTTTATCTTTGTTAGTTCATATTATAATTCACCTAATATGATACTTTTTTTTCTCTGATGTCATGCAACCAATAATCATATATTGGTTGTGTTTACTACACCTGTCTGGTGAACAGTGCTCCTGCAGTTTGTGCCAAAGTTCTTAAGCATGTTGTAATGTGATTTACAGTTATTATTTTTAAATGATGATTTGAGATTTTCTGTCACTGCATGAAATGTCACATATTCAGCAGCAAATACTGGTTATATATTTTTTTGAAAATCTGATTACATTCGATTAAATTGTCTTTGTATATATATATCAATCAGAATATACATGACTTTTGATCATTAGGTAACCTATCATTAAGTTGACCATTGTCATTAATGGTAATGATAATTTCAACATTGTTATTCTACTTCTTACTATATGACTCAGAAAATGTGTAATACAAAACAACCACAGGGCTCAGAAGAAAAATATGTTTGCAATTCACTAAATAACAATTCCACACACTGTTAAATCATGTTGCACTAGAAATTTGATGCTTGATAGCTTACTGTAATCAGATGTTGGAGCTTTTCTCTCCCACACAGTGACTGGCTATCATTAAACACACATATACCAAACAGGTGTTGTAACTGCAAATTGTTGAGGTAAGAGATGCAAACAATGTTTGGAAAATGTATATTCTGAATCCTTAGGTGAAGTGCCAAAGTCTGTCACTCACTATTTTTGTTTTATTTGTTCAGACCTGTAGGGCTGCACGATAAACCAATTTGTGAGCATGATTTAGATCCCTATGCAATCTCAGTCTCGTATGACAATGATTCGGCCGTGTTTGCATTAGCACGGAGATGCCTTGCATCAAACCAAGTGCTCCCTTTTCCTCACTAAGCCGCATTAACTAATATCCACAAAGTAATTTATTTCTGCTTCAACTGCTGTTCAGCACTAGTTGTGTAGGGCAGGGAGCGCAACGTTTAAAAAATAGTTGCAAGAGGGCACAGAATGTCTTTCATAATGTCGAACCTGTTGGGTTTGTTTTTGGATCAGTCTTTTCTTTCTATCTACAGCTCATCATGTGATGTAACGCGTTCCTGCTATTGGTTAATGCAGTTTAGCAAGGAAAAGGGAGCACTTGGTTTGATGCAAGGCATCTCCGTGCTAACGCAAACATGGCAGAAACATTGTCATGTGAGACTGAGATCACACAGGGATCTAAATCACACTCACAAATCAGTTTATCTTGCAGTGCTACAAACCTGTGAATGTAAAAGATAAAAGACAAAGACAAAGTATCATAAAATACATGTTGTGTAAGAGGAAAGCCTTCATAGTACCACTTGTTTTTCTGCTAAAAGAAAAGATGCTCACTGTTGGCAGGATGCTGGTGCCATGATTTCTTTAGTATAACATTATAGTTCTGATATTAACACGATATGACTCAGCCAGGCAGAGAAGCCCACAGGAAGCAAACAGCCTACATGATGTGTTGATCGCACATTGTTTACATTTAGTCACACTTTTCTTCATTCATACAGTCACAATAAAAAGTAATGGCATAAATTAGTCGTGAAATGTGATCTGATCTTCACCAAAGTCACAGATATCAACAAACAATATTTCTAAGTTGATAAAACACAGTCATGATCTGTTATGTCTTTATTGAGCACACCCATTAAACATACAAAGTGATGGTGGAAAAAATAATGGCAACACAAGTCTTCTGATGCCACTAAACTTCAGATGGAGTCAGGTGTTGGCAAATCTGGAGTCCAGTCAATGAAATGAGAATGAAGGTGTGGCTTATAACTACCTTGACTTAAAACATTCAAACAATGTCATTGTGCTATTCACAAGCAGCATCAGCTGATGTATGCCATGCCTCATAAAAAAGGGATCCCAGAAGACCTGCGATCAAGAGTCATTGCTTTGCATGTAGCTGGAAAGAGGAACAGAGTCGCCTCACTGACTTCATCAGCCCACAGTTAGATATACAGTCTAAAATGAATTCCCAGGTTTATCCAGGTATCCTACAGGATAACATCAGGATGGCTAGCTGCAAGCTGAAGCTCAAAACCAGCTGGGTGATGCAGCAAGACAATCACCCTAAACATCCAAGTAAATTTACTACAGAATGGCTTCGGAGACACATAGTCTGCTTTTCAGAGTGGCCCAGTCCTCAACCCAATAGAGATGCCATGGAATGACCTCAAGAGAGCCGTTCACACCAGATGTCCTAAGAATATGGATGAACTGAAGCAGTCCTGTGAGGAGGTCCAACGTTTGTCCTCAGCCATGTGCATTTCCAATCCACAGCTACAGGAAGCGATTGCTTGAGGTTATTGCTGACAAAGGTGAATCAACAAATTATTAAAACACTGTTGCCATTACTTTTTCCACCATCACTTTGTGTGTTTAATGGGTGTGTTCAATAAAGACATGAGAGATCATGACTGCTTGTGTTTTATCAGCTTATAAATATTGTGTTTGTTTATTTGTGACTTTGGTGAAGATCAGATCACATTTTATGACCAATTTCTATAGAAAACCAGGAAACTGCAAACAGCGCTGTTACTTTTTCTTGTGACTGTATGTGACATGCAGTATTATAGACCAACCTTTCTAACTGGTTTTCTGCATTTTCAAGCTAACTAGCCTGCTTCCTTTTGTATGATTAAATGATAATGAAGTCTAACAGAGGTGCATTTTGAGGCACGCACACTACAATGGGCTGATTTGTTTCTCTGTATGCTGGCTGTATATGCTCCAGAACAGAGACAAAAGAGATTTAAATTTAGAGTTTTTAATGCTCACAATGCCATGGCAGTTTCTTTGTCAGAAAAACTGTGGTTGGCAAATCTAATAATGATAAACCATTCCGATGAAAAGGGCTGGAGAAATATTGGGTAGAGAAGCTCTCTTTTACTTCAAAATTTCATTGCTCTGAGCAATTTTCCTAAAATCAGCAAAAATCTGGTGTATGTTCAAAATACCATAGTGGCAAAGCAGAACTGCTCCTTTAAATCTAAGAATTAAATCAACAGTAGTAGATGGAATGCAGTCAATTTACATTTGTGATTAACAGTTAATTAGCTGTTATGCTGGAATTTGGACTGTCGGAGCTATGGTCGCAAAGGTTAGAGCTGCGTAGCAAACCCAGTGCTTCTTTGATTTAACTGGAAAATGCTGCAAGTGGGGAGGGTTGATTGGGGGATTTCCATGTGTTAAATAAAGCGAGAAGGAATGAGCGACTGACATGCAGCATACACTAGCTAGTGCTCTTACATGCATGCAGTGGTGCCTGTGCTCTGTTAGGATTTGGACTTGAATAACTCTAATTCCTTTCCAAAATGGCGTCTTGTTTTTCCCTCCAGCTCACTGCGCAAGCTGCCTCACCAGTTCAAAGTCATGCTTGCCCTTGAGTCGGACGGGTCTCAAGCCAGCAGCCACACAACTTCGCCTCAGTGTTTAGTTTTTTTTATTATAGGTTTTTCAATTGGCCTGTGCGCTCCTTGTCGTGCCTCTGTTTCATTTTGAACACCGTCTCATGTCACTCACATTCACAAGCACTCTCACACACCTTCCGTGTACCAGCTATGCATGTACATGCTCACTTGTGTTGTAGGTTACTAATTTAAAAAAAACCCATTTGGCTTGCTTACTAAGTGGCTTAAACCTCAGCTTGTATTTCTCCCTGCATGTGTCAAACATAAGGCTGTAGTTCATGAGTGTGTTTTTGTTTTTTTCCTTTCTACTGAGGCAGCAACATGTTTTATGTTTAAATAGTTGGGTTGTCACCTACTGTTAACTAATGTCTGTTGTGGGGCTGTAGGAAAGCTTTACTAGCATTCTTCTGTTCACACTGATAGCTGTTGTGACCTAGATATGGGTATAGTTTGATTATACATGCACTGGTGTTGAGGCTACTTGATTGATGGGTTTTCTTTGTGCATTGCTAAGCTGTAGAATTTCATGGGAAGTGGAGTTGGCTGCAGTCATGCATGTACACAGTCACACCCTTCTTCGACAGATAGGCTGGACAAAGAGCAAAGACAAAGAGAGATGGTAAACCTAGACTACAACTGCAGGCTTTCCAACACTCCTACTACATGTTTTTATAGTTTGGCCCTTCCTTCTCATTTAGCTTTAGCTTGCTTGGTAGTCAAATATCCTACTGCTTAACTGTCTGCTCTTCATTGTAACTAGTAGGGTTTTGCATTCTTGTAGAGTGGTATTTTGAAAACATTGCTTGATGCAGTTAACTTGATTTTGTCTAAAGTACAGTACTGTCGAAAAGTCTTAGGCAGCCATTAGTTTTGAAGTTTTTAGGTTTTAATGATAATTTGTATTTATTTTTGTCTCTGTATTAAGCTGTAACTAGAAAATACATGAAACAGTTACATAATAATAAAAAACATTTTCAGAACAAAATGGCTTCTACAGTGCAACGTCAATATTTAGTGTGACCTTCCTTTGCACATAACACAGCTTGAATTCTTTTGGAGAGACTGTCTTGACGTCTTGAAACCAAGATAGACCCTCCACCGTGTTTCACTGAAGGCTGCAAGCACTCATTCTTCCATCTCTCTCCAACTCTTCTCACATACCCTCAACAGTTGGACCAGAAAATTCAAACTTTGATTAATAATAGGGATGGGTATTACAAGCTAAAATGCTATTTGATGTTTGCTGGGGCTGTCTGACAACTATTTGAAGATTGTGGGGCAAGCTGACAAAGCTGAACTGTGCTGCCTCGTCACAGTAAAAATGTTCTGTTTTATGTAGTGGTTAAAACTTGCTATAGGAACTAACACCGAGTTATGGAAATATCTGCAAAAAAACAATGTTTGTATCCCTTCAGGTAATTCATGCTCGGTAGCTGTGGAAATTTTTGGAGAAAGGCGGAATGACTGTGGGCAGAATGAGGGATAAAAGACCAGAGATGTAAGGTTGTTAGATGGCAGGCACACCCACACACCCCATGTCATTGTTTTTGGAAATATGACCTATTTTGCTCAGCTCTTTGCTAAGAGGGGCTGTGGGTGGAGACAAGGGTGAAGAAGAAATCATGTAGGAGTAACAGCATTTGGAGCAAATGAGGGTAATTTCTGCTCTGCTATGAAATTTCTCCACCAGCAGTGTGGTTGAACTTCACACCTTTAAACCTCTTTTTAGAACAAGACATTGATCTTAAATGGGCCACAGTGATTTCTGGGTTTGTTCATTTGGGTCCATTGTTAGTTAATGGCCTAATGTCTTCTGTCATTGTTATGCAGCCATAAGCTGAGTTGCGTTAATGTCAAAATGATTTTTACATTAAGAGCTTTTGAACCCTTAAAATAGGACACTGTGTGACAGCGTGTTGGCATAACAATGAAGTATAATGAAAGATTATAGTCAAGTATTTCTCCACCCTCAGTTTCTGCTTTACAATAGGTATTATTAGTTGCAGATGTGAAACAGTATAAACAGATTAGTTCCATGACTTGATATGATCTGATACAGAAGAATGGTTTAAAATCTGACATGATCGGTCTCAGTCGAGCTGTTCAGCACGTTTTTACAGCAGCCACAGGTCTTTTATTTGTCTTTGTTTGATGTTCTTTCTGACATTGCACTTTGGTGCCAGTGACAATAAGAAATTTGAAAGTCGAAATGCAACAGAGAGAGGTGTTAATTTGATTCTACTCAGCAGTCTGATAAACACGCACGCACGCGCGCACACACACACCATTGCCACGCCAAGGATTTTTTTCTGATTTGTTAAAGCATTTTGAGACATCTTCAAGTCAAGTGTCTGGTTTATCGAAACCTTTGTTATGGTGTGTGCTTGGGACTGAGGTCTCCCCCTGGAACATTGACTGACATTATACTGCATCACATAATGGAGATACCAGAAACAGTGTGTTTTTTTTTATTATGCTGCATTATTATTAATGAGAAAATGTAATATTCTTGAAGATGTTCTTCCTGCATGCTACAGATAGTCAGCAGATCATGTTCCCTGTGATTTTATTAAGCATTTTTCCTGACATTGCCTGTTTATATGGTGGTGCTTTGTCTTGAAGCTTATTTAACTGGTTACGTCTGAAGCCAGGGCTGCAACGCCTCGCATTGACAGACTGATCACATTGATTGTATTGTAAAAAGCATGTACAAGCAGCATAGATATCATTTATGAGATTTGCTGTGTAGCAAAACATGCTACAGTTTTTCTCCATCCAGCTAATTAGGCTGCCCGCTTCAGGTTCTACCAGCAATTTTACTGTCTTACAAGATGTTTTTTGTTAGTCTGCTATTTGCCTTACTTTTCCTAATGCCGTATCAAAGAGCAAAAGATTGCTAGACAGTGGAGGATAGACAGTTGCTGAGACCAAATTGAAAACTGAGCTTCGGTAGAGAGACGGACAAAGAAATGCTGAGACAGACTACCACAGGGAAACAGACAGACAGGTGAGTATAGTACCCACTGGCTGTGTTTGCACCACTGCTCCTCTGATCTAAATTTCATGAGACTATTAAAACAGGGAGGAATGGGGAAATTTTACATGCTCCCTCTACTGCTCTCTTCCTCGCGTCAGATAACGAAGAAGAGAAGGGGAGTGCGAGCGAGAGTGTTGGCCATGCTCATCTCTCCAGCACAATGGGCTTGTGGGGTTGAGGGCTGAAATGAATAGCTGATGTCTGTAATGAGTTGGCGCATCCACCATAAGCTCCATTCCTAAGGCAGTAGCTGTACTGTATACTTAACACTAGAGCGGTTGTGGTAGGAAAGCAAATATGGGTTATATGGGTTTCTAATGGGCACTCATCGTTTATTTTTTCCACTGCTTGTTTTTTGACAGAACTATTTTCTGATGCCCATATGCCGAGCTGCATTGAAGTGCTGCGCCGATGATGGCGGTGCTGGGTTGGTGTCGACAGAGATTGTATACATGATTCAGGTTCATGAGGTTTTGGGGGGTGGGGGGGGGTGCTCTCTTCTGGTTGTCATAGCAACCCAGTCATTTCTTCCCCCCAGCTACATTCCTATCACTTTGATTCATGCATTCATTTCTTGTATTTATTTTTATTTCTTGTAGAAAACTGAAGCTGCAGTTCAGCATCTAATTGTATTGCTCTGGATATGTCACTACGTGGATAGCGGTAGTGGACAGATAACACTTGCCAGTCATAGGATTGATTGTTGCACAATTTTTATTCACTCAGACAAAGCTAAACAGTTTTCTTTGATGTATGGTGAAATGCATTTAATCAGTAGCTGAACATTGGCTCATTTGAGAGCAAAGAACAGATGTTCTTGTGGACTCCTAAACAACATTCTTAAACATCTTCTGTGTATTTTAAGTCATATAGATGTTGTTTTTTGTTTTGTTTTGTTTTGTTTTTGTTTTTTGCAGCGCTATGTGAGGAATGCACTGACATAGATGTTTTCCTTGCTGTGCTCGATATTATCTCTGTCTAACGTGTTTCTTGTTTGTCCTTAGCAAGCAACCTCATATATTTGTCTAAGGACTCCCCATGGCACAGTGGTGCTCATTTCATATCATGTCTGTTAGGAAAGATATGTGGGGGGAACTTATCAAAGTATTTTTATGGACATTTGTGCAGTTGCGCAAATATGCCTTCTTTAGGCCTGGTATTATTATTGGCATAACAACTAGTTGACAGAAAATTTGGTAGTCAACAGTTGAAGTGATGGACTCAAAGTTTGAGCTATTTACAAATTATAAATCAATTACCATGGGGGTTTATCACTGTTAGTAAATTATCAGTTTGAAGATATTTTGGCTCTTGTCATTTTATGTCAAGAGCTATATGAAAGTCACGTTCGGCTTTTCCCGTTTAGGGGTCGCCACAGCGAATCGCCACACTGACGACTCGCATGTTGACATTTTGCACGTGTTTTACGCCAGATGCCCTTCCTGACGCAACCCTGATTCGAACCCGGGCCGCAGCGGCGAGAGCGCAGCGCCTTAACCAATAGCCTACCAGGGACGGCTCTTATGTCAAGAGCTATATAATAATTATTTTTTGTAGCACTTTTTCATTTCTACATCTGTGCCTATTCATAAATGTATTAAATTTTTATTTTTTTGCTTTAAAAAAATTTTTTTTTAGATGGAAGATGGCCAGACACTCTTTGACTACAACGTGGGTCTCAACGACATCATCCAGCTGTTGATTCGCTCTCAGACTGACCCTCCGGACAGCCCTGCCACTAAGGACTCCTCTGGTGTTGCCTGTAGTTCAGTTCCTCCCCTTAACTCCAAGTCTGAAAGCCACAACTCTGCAGCTCCAGCCTCCCTCACTGCAATGGAAACCTCCACTAATATAGACAATGACAGCAGCAGCAGTGTCACTACCAGCAGTGTTAATGAAGCTAAGCCAGACACCAGCACTACCAGTAACTCAACCAGTACCAAAAATGGGTTCAGGTCATCCAGTCCGACATGGGACACCCAGCCTCCTACATCAAGCAGAAACACACTAATCGACCCAGGAATTGGTGTGTACAAGGTGAGGATTGGAGCAGGAAACTGTTTGCAAGAATTTGTGTGACTGACAAATAGGGCTCAAAACTAAACAGAGCATTTAATGACAAGCCAAGTCACTGCTAGAGCTGTATGGACCTGATTTTGACAACCCAGGGTAGAGAAGATTGAATAAGAGCAAAAGAGCTATAAGTGACAGACTGTAGGGGTAGAATAGTGCAGAGAGGCCACGTCCTGTCCCATTTTCATTAGATTTTGATCAGACGGCTTGTAGAATCTAAGTTGTTGCAAGTTGAAAATGGCACAATGAAACATGCGCACAGTTGTGTGGAAAATATTCATGCTTTTACACACCAGGTTCCACACCTTATGTCTTTATTTAATTGTATTTTATACTGTACAATTATTTATAGTGCCATTAGAGAGCCAATAGAGAAACACAAACATGAATATGATGCCAGTCTTGCCTGTATATGTGGTGATTTTAGCAGCAGCTCTCAGTTCCTTTCCCCCTCGTCAGTGCTATAGTACTTCATACTGCCTGGATACTGTGTTCCAGCTAAAATAACTGGTGCCACCTTGTATTTATGTGTGTCCTTGTGTGGGAGGGCATGTGTCAGTGCCAAATTTACCCTTTCATTCTCACTATTAAACTTCTCTGTTTATAGGTCTGATACCCAGAATATCTTTAGTTTATAAGACATGCAGGTGGCTCATCTTGCCAGGAGGCCGCATGCCAAATGACCAAAACCACTATATAAGACGCAAGTCTTTACAACCCTGTCACTGAGTAACTTAAAGATTATAAATAGGCTAAAGCCAAAGCCATTATGTGTGTTTGTGCGTTAGCATGTGTGAGTCTACTCTGTACGTCTGTATTCTGCTGACCTTTGCTGGTTGGCCGGCCCACATGTTTGAGAGTTATGTATAGGACTGGGCACTTTTTGATGTCCAATCCAGCATGTAACCAAGCAAATGAGTTGGTAAACTGTGCCACTTTCTTGCCTTTACAGGCATTCGCTACATACTCGGTGTTCATAAAGGGACACAGCAATGGGCGGAATTTATTTCAGCAGTACTTTACATACATTTAGATTTACATGCATCTGAAGATTAACTGTGTAAAACATATGGCACACATATAATTAAAGTATAATTTTTCGCATATCTCAACCCATTGATTAAAATTGTCTACAGTTGATATTATTCACATTACTCCATTATTTTAGTGAACTCCTCTTCCTGTGGCTTTTGGTAATAGTTTGTGTGTGTACACTTACCATATCCCTGTGCAGAGACTGCCTTCTAATATTCAAATAGTTGTGAGTCAAGAGACCTGTTAGTCAACTGAGACTCTTCTAGTCGAGCCTTTGTTTTTATTTTATTTTATTTTACTTTTTGTCAGCCAATGCAGATTACCATGAAAGGGGGCGACTGTGATTCAGTGGGTAGAGCAGTCGTCTCCCAACTGGAGGGTTGGAGGTTCGAAGCTCAGTGCCTGCAGTCCACGTGTCAAAGCATCCTTGGGCAAGACACTGAACCCCCAAGTTGCCCCCGATGGTTAGAGCCATCGGTGTGAGTTGGCACCGCAGATGGCTGCCTTGGTTCTGTACCAGAAACAAATTCCTTGTGTGTAACATACGTGGCCAAATAAAAATAAAGGTGAAAGGTAGCCACAGCCTGGTAGTTTGTTGTCTTCTTCTCCTCATTTTGGTGTGCCATGCAGAAATTTGCTCAGTGGCCGGGGGGAATTCCCACTTCAGTGGTGACACTGATACATGGATATACGTTAAGGTCGGACCTATTGAGCAAATTGCAGAACGAGGAGAAAAGGACAACAAAGCCCACTAGGACAAGCCACATAAAGGTGAGATATGTACTTTTATTAGAAGTGTTTTCAAACATGGTGGTCTACTTTGACAAGAGAAAAGACTATTGCGATGATGTGGCTGTTTTTGCATAGCCTAATGTTATGTGATTCCAGTTTGTTTACCCATCTCCGTTAAAGTGCAACGTACAGCTGTTTACCAACTGTTTCTGCGACATGCATCCATCTGAACAGGACTAGGAATCTAACAAAAATATGTTGGGAAAACATTTCACTGAAGAGGAATCATTTGCAGTACAAGCAGGCACACACCAAATGTACAGTAACGATGTGCTGTGGTTAACTGTTGGGAGAAGCTCAAACTTGTTGGTAAACTATGCTATAACATGTCAGAAGAACAAATTGCATATAAAAGCATCTTTTCAACAGAAATACAAGTGCGCTACCTGTCTTGTTATTCCAACAAATCCATATGGCAGCCTGACATTATATATTGTCAGCTTAAATAGGTCGCAATTGAAATATTGCATCATATACAGCTGTCTTTTGATTTTTAAATGCTCAGAAATATGTTCCGGTCACTCTTTGGCATTTAAATACCGATGTTAAGGTAGTTGAAATCATCACTGAAATTCATGCCAGTTGATTTTATAACAAGTCTAGTCACACTGAAGAGCCGACTGTCAAAATCCTCTGTTGGGTAAGAAATCTTGATCAATAATGTGAAATTATTTAACATGCAGAAATATCACAACTTGGACAAAAAATAAAAGCAACAGATTGCTTGTGATGGATTTCCTATTAGTCTCTGAAAGTTGATTATCATACTGCACAGATGGCTATAGGAATTGGCTGTCCAGCATAGGAAAATATTTAAAGAATCAGTCTATGTAATACTTTAATTTACAATATATGATGTTTAGCAAATCAGCTAAAACATGAAGACGCTGGTGTGTTTCTTCGGATCAGAAGAGACCAAGTGTTAACAGTGTCTTTGTGTCTCCTCAGATTAACGAGCTGGTGGACTGCAGAGACGTCAGCATCGGTGCCTGGTTTGAGGCTTGCGTTGAAAATGTTACACGCACACCCAAAGGACAGATAACACCCACCAAGGGCAAGGTGGGTCGGCCCCCAAAAAGGACTAATGGAAAGCTGGAGGCTGAGCAGGGACAGGCCCACAGCCAGGGGCAAACCACGGACAGTAACAGGAATAATGTTTTGTTGAGCTCAGAGAGTAATGGAGCCTCCACCTCTCACACAGACTCTACAGCAGCTACAGAGAGCAAGGAGAGAGAAGAGGATGTCATTTACCACATTAAATATGACGAGTAAGTGATGCCTCCTTATGCTGGGGAACACTGATGCGGCAATTGCACTAATTTGGTTGCAGTGATAAATACATAATGTTTCAATGAAAGTGCACAATAGACATTTGAATTATACATTTTAGCAGACGTCTGCATAGTGTTAGTGCAGCAGCATTTTGGTATGATGAGCCAGGGTCGTCCTAAATAATAATGTGTTGTTTTGGATATGGGGAATTGCAGTGATGCTTCTCAAACAGTATGGTGCGCATGTGTGCCTTCTTCATTACCTCTGCCAGGGGTGGGGGTTATATTTTTGCCAGTGCTGATTGGTTGGTTTGTTAGCAGCAAATCTCAAAAAGTAATGATTTTAAGTTTAAGTTTTTGGAGAGGTAGGAGATATGGCCTACAGTCTAACTATTATGGGAATATTGCTTTTAGGTGTAAAGGCATTATGGGGAAACTGAGTTGCCATTGGTGGAGGTTTGCACTCTCTGAGTGTTGTCTAGTTGCATATGCTGTGCTACAGCACAGCAGACAATAAGGTTCTGCACACACCTTCAATGAGCTGTTTGAGGGTTAAGACTTGGTTTTAGGGTTCAGCTTTAATTAAATTAGGTCAGGGTATGGATTGGAGTAGGCATTCAGTGGGAGACTAGGGAATGGATTCAGTGATTCTCCTCACAAAGAATGTTAGTGTTTGTATGGTAGTAGTGCCTGTGAGCATCAGTAACAGTGATTTGGCCATTGGAAACTGCAGTCTCTGTTTTCCCTGGCAGTCTACGGTATGGGGAGAGAGAGTTTGCGTAGCTGGTGCTCAAATTTGGACTCTATCTCCTGCATTCCCCTTTTCCAGCAAATTCATTTAGAAGCTGACGTTTCCATGGTAACCCATGAGTTCTCAGGAGCATTGCTTCTTTGCTTGGCTCCTACAGCTTTGTCTGTAATTGCAGTGAACTTGCCACCAGTGAGACGTAGCTTCCTCACTGTGCTATCGTAGTGCCTGCATGTGCATGCACATTTCTGTCATGGATGCTGTACCACAGAAACTGTATCAAGGGTTGCTGAGCAATAAATGTGTGTTGTCTTCTGTGTAGACATCATTCCCAGTTGACATTACACAGTCTTCCAAATTCCTGATATTATGCTTTTCCTGTTGTTTCATCGTTTGCAACAGGAGAAGCATGCCCCCGCAGGGATTACCCAGTTGTACACATAATTTGTGTTCATCTTTTTATTTAAATGTGATGGTTTTGTTATTTATGTGCCTGTTGGCTCAGTCAGATTATTGTTTTTGCCTCATGTTCCTCATTTGCTTTATTTGATAGCTGACAGTCAAGAGAGGCAGAGAAAGGAGCGAAAGGGAAATGTGAATGATAATAAAGGTCCTATGCTAGTTTTAAACCCAGAACATCACAGTAATATATGTGATTTGTTTCTTCAACAACTGAGCCATGAAAAGGGCTCAGTTTGTGCGCGACTGAGAAGCAGCAGCTAAAAATGCAACAGTTCTTTCTATTTTGGTAATATTTTGTCTAATGGTACACAGTTTTGCCTTATTCCTGTAAATATAGTGCATCCCTCTCTATTCTGATCGCCATTGCAGGTTTCTTCTATCCTTTTGTTTGCTAGAGGATAGTGGAGGGTGGGTACATTTGCTCTGCCTTCCCACGCAAAATACACTACCCCATAAACACCTGCCTGCATAATCCTAAAAGAGAAAACCGGCCCTATGTGATGAACCACCATGTTTTTGTAGGAAGCTGTTCTGGACAGCAGTTCTACAGAAAGTAATGAGCCACAAGATCAAAGAGAGCAATATGTTGGGAGAAGCTCCTCTCTGCTGCTCCCAGGAACTGAGGTGGAGTGTGTGTCTGTGTGTGTATATAATATGTGCGAGTTGTTCCATAACACGATTCGTAGATATGAAGTCTTGGCTGAGCTCAGCTTATGTTTAAGGTTCTCTGTGGAGAGAGTAACAAATACAGACAAACAGGACAGAAATAAATGTGTGTTTCAAGTAAACTGTCGTGTGTTGTAGGGATGGACTGACAATGACTGACAGATGTCATGTTGGTGAGGCAGCATCGTGATTTAAAAGCCTCCATTATTACAGTTATATTGGTATCAGCATATACGTTAGCAGATATACGGTTTAGCAAATACTAAGTACATAATAAATTGGGGGAGGGAGGCCAAAGTCAGCATTGTTCAAACACAACTGTAATAGCTTAAATAACTTAAGTGCTTTTGTAAAAGAGAAAAAAATAATATATAACAATATCTGATCTTCTTTTTTTTTTACTGTCAAAAACTATTTCTGTATAAACTTCAAAAACCTATATTGGTTAGGCTCTAGTGTTATCCTCCTTAAGATAGTGCACATACTGTCCTACAATCATTTAACACCTACAAATTACATTAATTTAAATTTTCAGAGAACACTGGAGATTGGATTCTGTTAGATCTTTTCTGTCACATTACAATAATGGGATTGAGGTAGAAAATCAGTAAATTGGCTCTTTAATACTTAGATGTCTTATGTTGTCTGTCACATGACTTAGCTTCAAAAGTAATTTAGAAACATATTTTTAAAAAAGTCGCAGCTTCACATTTTGTCCTCCTTTACTTACAGAGCCAAGGTTAAAAGACACTACAGTCACTTCCCCTCACTATAGTGAAGCAATTATATTCAGATAGCTTATTTAGTGTCAGGGTATTTCTAACTCATCTGCTTATCTGCAAATTGAGGATTTCTCATTCTCTCCATTCCCTTTCTTCTTCTTTATGGGGACTTGAGCTAAGCACACAAAGAGCTAATGATGGTTTCATAACAGGAGAGACAAAGAGTGCTTCTCTTGATTGAGTTGTGGCATCTATTTCACAACTGATTAAATATGTTTATAATTTTCATTTAAATACACTGTACATTGAAATGCTGACATGGTTTTAGTTGTTTGTTTGTAATTCCAGGCTTCTAACCAATGCAACAGTGTACGCAGATAGTCAAGGTAGCTATGTGATGACATTTAATACAGATGCTGCAAATGTTAGAATTCAGACCTTCAGACTTTGTAGCTGAGTTGTTTTTTTTTGTGATATCTGCACATGGAATAACTCGAGCAGTGATTCAGTGGTTTACACTGTATATTTATGCATTTCATAAGGTGTCATGTAAGGTGTAGCAATAGGCCTGGAGAAGGAGATTTGCATTTTACTTACTTTAAAACACATTTCTTTAAGTAATCACCTTTATGAATGTAATATTATTGAGGTATGAGTGAATATTTTTTACAAAAACAAATCCATTTGTGTGAATGCCAAGATGTTTTGCTGCAGATAAAACATTTCACAGTACAAGTATGCGGGGGATTGCTACATAAATACCTCTATTAGAGGCAGGGCCATAGTTCGGGCGAGTGGACACATCGGCCAGTATGATCTTTTGCAGATTTATTGCTACAGTATTTGTGTATATATAGACAATACAAAAAATGACAGTACAATACTAAAATAAACTAGGTGTGAGGTTGTTTAAAAACAGTGGTTAGTCACGTTTCCTCATTAAGATGTAGTGCTGCCATTATGTGATTCTTTTGCAAGTATATCAAAAGAATTAAGTTGCACTCGATCATTGCAGCCACTGTAGGTCAGAGTGCCTGTCCTTAAATGTCCACAGATTATAATCTTCACTTTTATATCACACCAGGCTTTTTAACTTATTTCAGCCTGAAATTGTTTAGCATTAACATTTCATATAATTGCTTATTTATCCGGTGCCTGTGTAGGTTGATGCTTGTGGTTCTGAAGCAGTGCAGACACTCGCGCTTGTGTGGTCTTTTTTTCTGCTCCCCTTCTGTGCGCCATTGTTCTCCATGGTTGATATTCTTCTTCTGTGTTGGTGTGTGTCAGTGTGGGTTTGTGTTGCTTGTACTGTATTCACCCCCACCATGCCATACCCAAAACCACAGTAATCCCTTGGGCCTAAAAAAGGAAATCCCTGCACTGTGTCCCAGCTTCTTCCTGTAGGCCGCCTTCAGTCAGTTTACAGTGGCTTAAAATATGCAGCATAGTTTTATCATTACCAAGGCAAAGGATAAGTGACAAGGAACAATCTTAACACGTTGAGTATTATAATTAACAGTAGTCATTTTTAGCTTGAGCAACAGGGTGTCATTGGTTCTGCGTCGGTGTAGAATGTCAGAGAAAGTATCCAGTTTGGGCTCTGCTGCTCGCTCATGCACACAGTACTCTACAACCCCCTTTACCCTCCACTGTGTGAGCAGACCTGAGTTTTGCAGGCTGTTGTGCAGTGAAACTTAAGTGTTCATCTGAAAACAGGATTGCAGATTTTAGCAAGCAAGCAAGCTGCCAATTTGTCTGAGTCTAGTCTGATTCTTGCAGTTTAATGATGATTGGCAGGCAGGAAACCTGCACAGTCAACCTTCTTTCATCCACTCCAAGTTTGTTATACAACGCATTTCACACTTTGTCAGATCTTCTTTTAGGACAGGAGGAACATTTTGTACAGAATGTGTCAGTGCTTTTCTGTATGGACATTTACCATTTCAGAAAAGGGTTGAAGAATCGTAATGTATATTTTGGGTACATTATTTTTGAGATTGCGCACACAGTGGATGGTGTTTTTATAGCCTGACATTTTCAGAGGAGTTAGCCTAACTCAAAGTCATCTTATCTAAATCACAGCAATTATATCTCAGATTCAGGTTCTGCAGTTCATTCTCTTCACACAGTACTCTACTGTTGCTCATATTATTTATGATGAATGTATGTAGTTCATTAGCTCAGTTTGAACCAGAGCGTTAAGACAGACATTAAAAAAACTAAGACAATAGGGTTATGTGGATTTCACATTTCCTAGTTAAGTTTGAAGCTTGTCTTTAACTTGACCTATGGTTAAACCTTTACCAAATCAAATTGTTAAACACAGGAGAACGTGATTTTGTGCTCTATCATTCATTTCATAGATGAAAGCAGATCAGAGGGCTGAATTCACATTTGAATAAACTGATACAGGGCTCCAAACTAAAATAGTGGTCCCTCCTTTTCTCTCTTCCCCAGCTATCCAGAGAATGGCGTGGTAGAGATAAGACCGGTGGATGTGCGGCCACGTGCGAGGACTTTGCTGCGGTGGGACCAGCTCCAGGTGGGCATGCATGTGATGGTCAACTACAATATGGAGACACCAGAGGAGAGGGGCTTCTGGTTTGATGCAGAAGTTCAGACCCTCAGCCAGACCTCCCGCACCAACAAGGAGCTGCGAGTCAAGATCCTCCTGGGGTGAGGGTTTTCTTCTCTGTTTAGTGTGGGGGTATGATTGCTTTTAATGGAAACTCTACTTGGTCAATTTTTTCTTGTTGCTTACCTAGATGTGTGACTCCTTTTCATCTCTCTCAACAACACATCTTCCTCTTTGGTTTCTCTTTTTAAGCTTTCATTTCTCTCTCTCTCTCTCTCTCTCTCTCTCTCTCTCTCTCTCTCTCTCTCTCTCTCTCTCTCTCTCTCTCTCTCTCTCTCTCTCTCTCTCTCTCTCTCTCTCGTCTCCATCCAGGGGTCCTGGAGATGTGATAGGGGATTGCAAAGTTCAATTTCTGGATGAAATCTACCAGGTGGAGAAACCAGGAGCTCGCGCACTCTCGGCCGCAGATGGACAGTTTAAACGTACGAACTAGACTACACACATTTATACGCACATAGTTACGCTAGTGCGAAAACTTGAAATCGTCAAGTTTCTGTTCACACTTTATGTGTGAGTGAATATTTTTTTATTGTTCTAAAAAAAAAGCGGCCCAGAATGTAAGCACTGCAAAGCTGACCCTGATGCTGAGTGTCGCTTCTGCTCCTGCTGCGTGTGCGGTGGGAAGCAGGATGCTCACATGCAGCTGCTGTGCGACGAATGCAACATGGCGTTTCACATCTACTGCCTCAACCCGCCACTGGCCACCATCCCAGATGATGAGGACTGGTAAGAGAGAGAGAGAAAGAGAGAGAGTGCAGCTCAGAAATGAGCCACAGGGTCCTGTGCTATACGGGCTATTTAAGAAGGTTGATTTTAATTGTGTTTGTTATGAGCTGGAGTGAATTCAGGCAGTAATTATAGTGTGACTGAGGTGGGAAATCAATACAAAATAATGACATAATGTAGTTGCAGGTGTGAATTTATCTAATGGAACGACTATGAGTGTCTCTCTGCCAAACAGAAATGAGGGTGTAAATAATTGTTGGGGTTTTTTGGCAGTTACTGAGATCTCCAACCTCCATTCCTGTTTCTGGCATTATGTGCTGCTTTACACAGCTAAAACAGCAAACAACTCGATGTGCAATTAATGGCAACATTCTTAAACAGCTTTTGTTGCTACTTTCTAGTATACAGTCATAAAAATACTTTGCTTGGAATAATCATTTGTGTATGTTATGGGTTTTTTTTCAGCATAAGTTCAGTTACCTTCCCCTTATACCGTCTCTCTCACTGAAAAAACTATGAATATGAAACTATTTTCATTCTAAGAGTTTAACTACTATAAAAGATATCTTCTACATCACTGGCAAGTCTGTTATCAGTGAATGTGCACTGGAGGTTTTAATTTTCCACATAAGACTTCTGTAAGATGTATGAATATGCTATACATTATGTTAAAGGTACTTATTACCAGTTTTTAAAGTCTTTGCCTTCTGTCTAATTTTGGGAAATGTTGCTCTTTATTTGACAGTGACCTGCTGTTCAAGCTTTTGCTGAATCGCCTCCAAAGACAGTTATGCATTTCAAGGTTCAAGGATTTTATTGTCAATTCACCATATGTGCAGGACATACAGAAAATCAAAATACTGTTTCTCTCTCACCTAGTATTGAGTGCCATAACGTTTAGGAACTAAAATAGAGTAAAGTAGAGTAAATATAGAATAGAATAAAATAAGAACTAGATTGATGTAATTAGGAGAAATCTAAACTCTACAGCCAATAAGGTGTGACTCAAAACCGAATACAGTCAGTGACAGTAGTGCAAACAATAATAGGAGATTGTCAGGTGGTTCAGCATCACCAGGGCGTTGGTGATGAGGTGCAAATAACATATGAGGTGTACATGGACAGGATTGCAAATGACCAACAGCAGCAGATATCCCGGCAAAAAAAACAGCCAGCAGCAGATTTACCTGTAATATAACAAAAAGGGGGATGTATTGAGTTTGTGTACCAGCAGGGGTAGTCTTTTTATGTCTTTTATATTCTGTGGTGGGTTACGGTCCAGAGGCAGAGGGGGGGAGGTAGTGAACAGTGTTCAACATCCTCACAGCCTGGTGGATGAAGCTGTTTGTAAGTCTGGTGGAGTGGGCCTGAAGACTCTGATACCTTCTCCCTGAAGGCAGGAGTCTGAAGTGGGAGTGTGCATGGTGGGAGGTGTCGTCAGCAATGCTGATGGCTCTGCGGGTGAAGATTTCACATGATTGTCAGAATATGCTGCTCCGAAATATTAAATGTGCAGATTTTAGAATCTTTTCAGATGGAGAGAGATATCAAACTTATTGGCGATCATTGGCAGCTGCTTGATTTTAGATGTTAAATCAATTTATCTATTTTTTCTAGAGTCTGACGGGGGTTTCATCCGTTAAAGGCAGTTTTCCGTCTCTGCTGACGCCAAGTGCTTGCTTTAGGGGGATTAGTTGGGTTTTCCTTATAATAGTGTAGGATCTAGACCTTATTATGTAAAGTGCCCTGAGATGATTGTTGTTGTGAATTGGCGCTATACAAATAAAATTGAATTGAATTGAAAATTCTTTCTGTGCTGTGTGTTGTTACACATTTGCTGTTTACTTGCCCACTGCTACTCCCACAGAATTATTTCCTCTCATTCTGCCAGGTACTGTCCCACCTGTAAGAATGACACCAGTGAGGTTGTGAAGGCAGGAGAGAAGCTCAAAGCCAGCAAGAAAAAAGCCAAGATGCCTTCGGCAACAACTGAGAGTCAGAGGGACTGGGGAAAGGTAAGACCCAGGGGCCCCCAAAGGGTCCACACTGCCTAGGTGGACTGAGAGCTGATATGTTAGACTGAAAGAAAATATGAACAGTAAGCTTGAAGGAAGGCCTGTGGTTCCTCTTCAGATTGCCTAGAACGAACAAGGGTTATGAAAAAGTTGTTTGTGGCAAAGGTTTTTCGGTAACATTAACTGTTACAAAAGTCTAACCTCAAGTGAAATGTCAAAATAAAAAAGTACTTCAGTCTTTTCTACTGGAGCATATGTACTGTATGCGCCCAAGTGGCCAGTTCGTTACCTAGTAGAAGAAATAGAAACATTTTCATTGTCCACCAACTGTAACACTTAATGCAAGCATTCAATTAAATATCATCACACCACCACCTGATTACTCAGAATACTTGATAATCATGTCAGCAGTTTTGAAAGGATACATTTTCCATCTGGGACTGGTATTTTTAAATGTTTCTACTTGACTGCAAGATGGCAAAAGAGATCCTAATGGCTGTTTGTGTGTTAGAAACTCCACATAATTAGTTATTTAAAAAAGGAAGACTTCTCTTTTCTTTGGGGATTTAAATCATTGTCTTTTCAAGATTAAACTTTCTTTTTACATAGAAATGTTACTGTTGAGAAAAAAAATGGCACAGTGGTCCTGATGGATATGGAACCCACAACATACACACAAAACGGGTTCTACTTTAATGAAAACTGCTGTAAAACTCAATCTATACAGCACTTTGTAATGTATCATTTCTATTGTAAACCCCCAGCAAAAAGGTTTGGGCGAGCCATTTAGTATATTACTCGTGCATCACATTTACATTTTTATTCCATTTACTTCTGCAAACTCTATTGCTTCTGTGTATTTAATATTTCATGTGTGTAACAGTCTGCTCTGTGTTTGGTTTTGGGATTGCTTAGATATGAATTTGTTTCATGTGAAGAGTTTTGTGTGTACCTCTTTGAAGCCCTGTCAGACATTGCCTGAGCGCATCACATCTCATTTCCTCAGATCAGATGATCAAATCAGAGGATTTGATCTTGTCAGTATCGCTTAATATCTGATCAGGCTCTGAGCTGATTAATCATGTTTGTTTGCATTATAGCATTTGAGTGCAAATGCCTAACTAATTGATACATTATCAGTCTCTTCTCATATAAACATAGGAGTAATACCTTGTACACTTCCTCACTTGTTCACTGTGTTAAATGTCTGTCTGCTCATATTGTGTGGCTCCTTTCCATCCCGGCCTGGCTGACACTCTGCTCCATGGTGTAATGTGAACAATGCCATTAAGCATGACTTAGCCACTTTCCTGGAGCTGCCAACGGAAAGTAACTCCTTTCTTTACCAGAATGCTCTCTCTGGACTAATTGAAAACAGCCTGGCTTGTATGTTTGAGCACATTTAAATGCAGTGAGTCACACAGCAGTTATACTTGATTTTGACATTATGAAATCAAATGCTTTTCTTTGCTCTAGGTTTTGTCTTCCCACTTTTGATGTCCCTGTACCTTCTAAATAGAATACTCATCATTTCTGAAAGTAAAACATCCTTTGTCCTTTACTATTTATCTTAAGATTCTACAAATGTGACATAGCTATTACCACCCTGGTCTTAAAAGAGCACAGAAATATCATCTAAAAGCATGTGAACCTTTAATGGTGTTTTTGTGTGCATGTCTTTGTCTTTGTGTTTTTATGTATTTGCAGGGTATGGCTTGTGTGGGGCGAACA